TTAGATTTTTCTACCTGGATTATTGAGCATGCATCAGGATGTTAAAGCTAAGCTGTTTCATCATTCTTCGATGGAGCAATAAATTCACTTGGGGACTGAGTGGTACAACCATTTAAAGCCCTTTAATAACTTGAGAATTAACTGTTCTTTACCTGTGTTCCAAAAGTCCTCCTTCGAGCCATCCTGAGCTCATCTCCAGAACTGTTGGACATCGGTCACTTCATCCTCTCTGCAGTCTTCAGCTTTTCTACATGGACCTCAGCTCATCCTTAATACAGGCTGTTCGGTCCCTATACAGGTGTTGTGAGAATTTGGTGTCCATTGTCGTAATAAGTCGGACCCCTCCAGGGTGGAAATTGGACTCCACTAAGGCTGCCTGTTGTCACGATTCTGTTCATAACTTTTATGGACAGAATTTCTCGGTGCAGCCAAGGGGGGCAGAGGGAGTCCTGTTCAGTGGCCTCAGGATTCCGTCTCCACTATTTGCAGATGATGTGATCTTGTTGGCGTCATCGTGCCGTGATCTTCAGCTTTCACTGGAGTGGTTCACAGCTGAGTGTGAAGCAGCTGGGATGAGAATCAACACTTCCAAATTTGAGGCTGTTGTCCTCAGTTGGAAAAAGGTGGATTGCTCTCTTCGGGTCAAAGGTGAGGTTCTGTCTCAAGTGGAGGAGTTCAAGTATCTCAGTGTTTTTGTCACAAGTGAGAGAAGGATGAAGCGTGAGATTGACAGACAGATCGGTGCAGCATTTGCAGTATTGTGGACTCTGTGCTGGTCCATTGTGGTGAAAAGGGAGCTGAGCTGTAAGGCAAAGCTCTCTGTTTACCAGTCAGTCTACTTTCCTAGCATTTCCTACATTTACCTATGGCCACAAACTTTGGATAGTGACCAAAATAATGAGATTGTGGATAGAGGTGGCTGAAATGAGTTTCCTCCACAGGATAGCTGGACTGACCCTTAGAGATAGGGTGAGAAGTTCAGTTATCCGGGAGAGACTCGGAGTAGAACCGCTGCTCCTCCACATCGAGAGGAGACACTTGAGGTGGTTTGTGTATCTGGTAAGGATGCTTCCTGGGTGCCTTCCTAGGGAGGTGCTTTTGTCATGTCCTACTGGGAGGAGACCCTGGGAAAGACCCAGGACATGCTGGAAAGACTATGTCTCTCAGTTGGCCTGGGAACACCTTGGGCTCCTCCCAGAAGAGCTGGAAGAGGTGGCTGTGGAGAGAGATATCTGGACCTCTTTGCTCAAGATGCTTCCCCCGCGACCTGACTTCAGAACAAGCAGAAGATAATGGATGGATGGATGGATGGATGGATGGATTGTCCTCAGCTTAGCCAGCGTTGTCCTGGCCTGTCCCCTCTCCATTTTAAAGATATTGAGCTAAAACTTTGTGTAGTAACAGCTCAGCATTCAAATTCAAATTCAAATATACTTTATTAATCCCAAAGGGAAATGAATTGTTGTAGCTCATCTTGGTTTCATTAGAGTTGTTCCAGATGCTGATGTCTTTGGGCAGGAAGGATCTCTTGTAGCAGTCCGTCCCACAGCGGATACGAAGAAACTGGCTACAGATGTCAATCTGTCCACCCAGACCCAGCAGATGTCTCGGTCCTCTTGGGCAGCAGGACTGCCTGAATGTCGGGCAGAACTTTTCCCTGAGCGATGGCCATTTCTCCCAGCAGCCTACCAAGCCCCTTGTTGCCGCAGACTTAACTGCAGGTGCCGGGGGATGATCTTGGTCCTCCCGCTGTCACAAGCTGTGTTTTCCGCTACCTCCAAGATCTCTGCAGTCAGGCTGCAATGCATCTATGGCATCTCCTTTTCAAATCATTTAGGATTTGTGGCTGTAGTTGAGATTTGAGCTTTTGAGATGTTAATCAGCTGCTCCCAGTTGTAGAAAACCACCCTGTTGTTATGGTTATGCATCATAACAAATGTCCAAAAGTAAAAAAGATGTCAGTAAAAATCCTGCCAGCAGCACAGCATCTGATATCAGAGGAAGTAATCATCCGAAAAAAAGCGATTTGCATTCAGAAAAAAGAGTAATTAAAGTTTTCAAAAGCAAAAACTCAGAATGAATGTGAGAGCTACACCTACATGCGGCCACCTTGAGCGGCGCAATTCTGGAATCCAAAAACACAGTCTCCACATATAGTTTAAACCAGTGGTATCCTGATGCATGCTCAATAATCCAGGTAGAAAAATCTAAAAAAGTTAAATCTGGTCCTCTGGACATTCAAAACAAAGCAAAACAACACAAAAAATGTAGAAACATTTTGTCTTTCATCCGAAAGACTTCCTCAGTCTGAGGTGCTGTATTCAGCTCAGTCTTATAAATAACACCTTTACCAGTGGTTTTCAATTTAAATTCAGCGAGGTCCATCTCACTAAAAGAAATCTTTCTGTAGCAAAACTCCATAATGTGTATATTTAAAAAATTTTTTAGTGACAATCACACTGGTCTTCCTCACTCAGCATATGGTCTTTTTCAGTGTAAACCTCTATATGGGCTGGTAGCAGAGAGAAACCACCAGCCAGACCTGGGAATGACTATAAACACTGGAGAAGCTACACTGCAAAAAATGCATTGCTAGAGCAAGAGCACTGGGTATGGGACACTACACGCCCATTGACAAACTATTACACAGCAATCTATAACAATGACCTAAACAAGCAACGGCCTTGCATAAACTTTGTTTTTTATTTGTGGCCTTGACCTTAGAGCTGAGGTGATATGAAATAAATGCAGCACGCTGTCTCGTGGTGGTACATATGTGTATCAAGTTTTGTTTAATTATCTTGAGCAGATCAGAAGTTATGATCCAGACAAGCAAATACATTTTTGAACTTTGACCTTGATTTGTGACCTTGCCCATGGAGCTGGGGAGATGACAAATATACACAACACACCGGCTAGTGGTGGCACATATGTGTAAGTTTTATAGTTATCTTGAGCGGACCAGAAGTCCTGGGTGGGACCAGAGAAACTTTGCGACCAGATGAGGACTACACTGTAACGTCAGACTTTTGACAAGATATCCTGATGCATGCTCAATAATCCAGGTAGAAAAATCTAAAAAAAGGTAAGTCTGCTCCTCTAGACATTCAAAAAACAAAAAAAACAAAAAAACTTATTAACGTTTCGTCTTTCATCCGAAAGACTTCTTCAGTCTGAATACAGCACCTCAGACTGAGGAAGTCTTTCGGATGAAAGATGAAACGTTTATACTTTTTTTGTTGTTTTGTTTGTTTTGTTTTTTGAATGTCCAGAGGACCAGACTTAACTTTTTTAAACTTTTGACAAGAGTTTGAAAAAAAGTGTTGGAACGTAAAATACTAAAAACTGTATATAAACTAACAAAGTCCATGCTCAATAATCCAGGTATACGATCCAACATTTTTCAGTCAGGTCATCTGGACAGTTTGTATATAAACTACTGAATCCAAGTGAAACTTAAAAACAGATCTGCTGGATCCAGATCTAGACTTCGGTCCACCTGTCTCATGTTCACACTATTTGAGACTAAAACTTTGGCATGAAAGGTGGCGGGTGACATGCATTACTTCAAGAAATGCTAGGCCTTTAACTATACTATTGATTTTCTTTTAATTTAATGACACATTAATTATACCGTGCAAGTCTTCCTACACTTCTTTCTGTGTGTATGTGTGATGCATTGATGAAACAATTGTTTGTCCGGGGTATTTTTGGTGCATGGCTGAGCTCTAATGGACTCACAGGGACCAGATGAAGGCGCAGAAAGGGGGAGGGGGAACCTCCCAGCCAATCTGAGTCTCTCCCAGCCTACACAATCTTCTCACACAGCTTCAGGGTTGGTGATGTGTGCGGTGTGAGAGGGAGCTCTGCTGTTCAGAAACATTCTGCTGCTTCAGGACACACAGA